TAGGTGTATGCAGATACACTGCATTGTATGAACATGTCTATATTTATCCACCTGGCTACCATTTCCTGTGCTTTCATTTCTTTGGGTAGATCCGTATTTCAGTCTGCTACTATTTTCCTCTCTGCCTGAAAGACCTTCTTTAACATGTCTTGTAGTATGACTCTGCTGGCATGAATGCTTTCAGCTTTTGAATGTCTAAAGAATTCCTTATTTGCTTTCATTTTTGAATTCTACATTGACAGTTTACTTCTTTTACTATCTTAAAGATGTTGCTACACTGTCTTCTTGCTCTCATTGTTTCTGTCTAGAAACTGCTATCGGATGATATCTTAGTTGCTCTTTATGTAATTTGTCTTTTTCTCTGTTGCTTTTAAGGTTTTCTCTTTATCACTAGTTTTGAGTAATTTTATTATGATTTGGCTTAGCATAGTTTTTATTGTGCTTCTTGTGTTTGGGGTTTTTGAGCTTCTTGGGTCTATGGGTTAATCATTTTTATCAAATTCCGGTTATTTTAGGCCATTATTTTTCTTCAAAAATTTTTTTTTCTGTCTCTTTTCTTGTCTTTTCTTTGGGGACTCCAATTACAGGTATGATAGGCAGCATGAAATTGTCCTATAGCTCATTTCATTTTTTATTATTTCAGACATTAGAGATATTCTCTGTGTTTTATTTTAGATTGATTCTGTTGCTATCTTCAAGTTCAGTCATCTTTTTTTTCTCTAACGTCTAATCTGCCATTAATCCCATTCAATGTTTTTTTCATGTAAAACATAGTTTTCAGCTGTAAATGTTCAATGTATAACTTTTAGACGTCATGTATGTCTCCTTACCAGCTTTTCTGAACATATGGATTACAATCATAACTGTTTCAATGTCCTTGCCTGCTAATTATAACACTTGTGTACTATTCTGGTTGGTTTTAATTGATTGATTTTTCTCCTTATTATAGGTTGTATTTTCCTGCCTCTTGGCATGCTTGGCAATTTTTTATTGGATGCCAGACATTATGAATTTTAACTTATTGGGTGTTGGATATTTATATATTTCCTATAAATACTCTTGAGCTTTGTTTTGGAATGCTGTTAAGTTACTTGGAGACAGTTAATCCTTTCATGTCCTGCTTTTAAGATTGGTTAGGTGGAACGATAGCAGCATTTAGTCTAGAGCATTCTGAGGTAAGATCCTCGTGAGTACTTGGGACAATTCTGCATGAATTATGAGATTTTCCAGATCAGCTACTCGGAACAGACATGATTCTTGGCCCTGTAAAAGTACCAGTGTTTCCTCTAATCCTTTCAGGTAAGTCTTTATATGGCTCTAGGTAGTTTCTTGCATGAATGTACTCATCAGCATTCCACCTAATACTTGAGGGAGACCCTCTGCCACGCTCCTCTCTCTGGTACTCTGTCCTATGAACTCTGGCCATCCTAATCTTCTCAGATGTCCAGTTTCTCAAGTCAGTGAGTCTACCTGGGCTTCCTTTTCCTGCACTGAGGCCTGGAAATCCACTCAAGGGACTCAGCTGGCGAAATTGTAGAACTATCTCATTTGTCTTCCAATTCTTCAGGATCACTGTCTTTCATGGTTTGATGTCCAGTATTTTAAAAATCATTGTTTTAAATGTTTCACTCAGATGTTTTTGTTGTTTTAAGTTGAAGAGTGAAGTTAGTCTCTTTTCCTTTATATTTGGAAGAGCATTTTTAAATTTTGCCTTTATTTCTACTTTTACTTCATTGTGATTAGATAATTATAATATTCTTATTCTTACTGTGGAACTTACTTATATTTCCTTCATGGTCTAATATTGGAGAAATTTCAATAAATGTTTCACTTCTGCTTGAGAAGGGAAAATATTCTTTATTAAAGGGTATAACATTTGATACATATTTAGGAAATCTAATTTATCATTAATATTGGTTAAGTCTTCTCTATCCATATTTATTTTGTTCACATGACTTCTCTTGTCCTGTAGTATGTAAAACTGCCTCATCATTATTGTTCCTATGTATCCTAGCATTGCTGTAATTTTTATTTTTATTTTATGTATAGGTGGGTTTTGTATATTCTCTTACATAGATATTATTTATTAAAATATATTTTATTGTAGATTGTTGGTTTTTGCATTATAATGCCATTGTTTGTCTTGTTTAATGCTCTGGGTTCTAAATTTTGCATTGGGTAATATTAGAGTAGCTACTTCTGCCTTAGAGTTATTCCAATTTAGCTAGCATAATGTTGCCCATCTTCTTTTTTACATTCTCTTGTTCATTAAAATTAAAGCCTTTAGATCACTTGGTTTTAAATGTTTCTGCTATATATGGAATACGCCACAGACCATTGCTTTGTAAGTTATTTTGAAAATCTATTTCTTTTACTAGGCAACTTAAGCTCATTCACATATACTGATATGACTATTATATTAGGTGTCAACCCCTTATGTCAATTTATCCTATTATTTTTCTATCTATTGTTATGTTTAGTGTGTTTCTTTCTCTATATATGTCTTCCTTGCTCTTTTCAAAAGATTTCCTTTGAGATTTAAAAAAATGTACATTTTTGCTCTAGTAGTTACCCTTGCATTGGTGACTTTTAAAATATCTTTATTCATCTTTTTTCTTACTTAACTTTTTACTATGTGGAGTGTTCATTCTAAATGGTATAATTTGACACCTGCCTGTTTTCTGTGCAACAATGATCTTTTTCTACTTTGTCTTTATTCTCAGCTCAAATTTTAAGTTGTATTCTTTTTATCTTGTTAGAACATACAACACTTATAAATTATTTGCCATCCTTGTCCCTGATTCTTGCTTAAATCTTAGATCTACAGTAAATACACCACGTGCTCACCATCATTCTTTTGCCAATGTTTGCCTCTAGCAGATTATCCATGAAGGGCTCGTGTATACAAAGTTCTCTCATTCCTTGAATATATCATTTGTTTCTCTATAGTCTTAATAACTGACTGATGGTTTTGCTGCGTGTAAAGCCCGTGGCTCACAGTTCATTTTCTTTTCTTTGATTACTTGAAAATAATGTTTCATTCTTGCCTTGCTTTGCAGGTTTTTCTTGAATACTGTAAAACTGTTATAATTTTCATGCCTTCCTAAGTATTATTGTTGTTGTGTCTGGAGGCCATAAGTCATTTTGTTTTTTTTTTAATCTTTAATCGTCTAATAGTTTCATAGGCTATTTCTCAAAATTAATCATTCTCAGTCAATTTTCCCAGGCACGTTGGCCCTTTCATAAATTTAGGTTTTCTCTTATTTCTATAAAGAGTGTTTGGATTTTATTTAAAAATATTAGCTCTATTCCATGGTGCCTTCCACCTGTTAGAGACATCAATTTCTTAAACATGTATAAAGGAGTGGGCTGTAGTAGGATAGCAGAGAAATTGCTTTTAAATAGGAATGTGGATAGTTCATTTGCCATAATGGGCAGTAAAACAGAGTGTGGGTATGGATGCTTATGGGGTCGGGGAGACATGGAGGTGATGTCTAAGGAAGGGCTCTTCTAATTGCTGTGGTTTCCTCAATGGTAAGGAAGCACGTGCTAAGGTAACTGTCCAAATTCCCACCTATAAAACAGGATGGAGATGAGTGCATTTGCCAAATTTAGATTCATGGCCCAAATATGAATCACATATCAAAATTCATGAATGGTATTCTAGAAGGAGCTCAGAGGGCAATCAGTTCTTGGTCCTTCTACTTAGTAGAACCCAGAGCCACTTCCTTCTGGGATCTCTGTGTCCAGAGAAACTGAAAACAGCATTAATGGGGAACATCAACTATGGAAGAGTTCATTCTCAGGATAACCTCGGAGGAATCTGGAGGACTATGCTGTGGGAGGTGGTGGAGATCTGCTTTGTATTGCCTTATGGGCAGTACACAGGGACATGGATTTTGAGTGAGCATAGAAAGGAATGTTAGAGGACCGCAAAAGGCCACTGTGTGAGGTAGTGAAATCTCTCTCCCAGGGAGTCTTCATTCTTCATTAAGTGGCTGGATATTGTGATGTCAGGGGTGTTGGGTAGGAGATTCCTGGGTCAGCAGGGATTATCAGATGCTCTCTGTGGCAATGCCAAGTTGACCATTCACCTTATCTCACTATGCAAGCTTACTCTGTCAACAAATCTTGTCCATTCTACCTTTGACATATATTCAGAACCCAAGCCTTTCTAACTTCCACTACCTCAATCACCCTGGATCAATACACAATTTTCTCTCTCTTAAATTACTTTAATAGCCTTTTAGATGACTTTTCTGCTTCCTTCTTGGTCCCACTCCCCTATCCCAATCTATTTTCAATAGCAGTCAGATGGATCCTGTCTAATTATAAGTTAGATAATACCGCTCTGCAGCAAGCTCCACAGTGATGCCCCATCCCTCTCAGAGTAAAAGCCTAAGTCCTAATCACATCCTACTTGGCCCATGGGACCTGCTCCCTCTCCTGCCCCTGCCCATCTCCGACATCATCCTCAACTGCATTCCTTGCCACCCGCAGTCCTGCTCACACCTGCCAGGTGCGCACTCTCTCTCATCTTTTAAAGGGTGGTGGCAATTTCCATTCTAGGAATGCCTCAGGTATTTGGAGAGGTCGCCTTTTGTCTATCTTCTCTTCATATATCATTACTTATTCAAAGAGGTCCTGCCTGTCCACCTTTATCAAAAAGCATTCCCATCCTTTTACCTTCCTGAATTTTTCACAATGGCACACATGGCCCACATATTATATATGACATTACTTGTTTACAGCGTGACTGCCTTGCCTGACAGTAGTTTTGTCTGCTTTTTCATTGCTGTATAGTCAGTGCCTGGAAGGGGCCTAGCACAGAATCAGTGCTCAAGAAATGTTTGTTACATGAATGAATAAGTGAATAGGTGTGATTGTGTTTTTATAGGGATATGGGACAATGTGACAGTAAGCCAGGGCTTGACTCCTTCCTTCAGGAGGGAGGAGAAGGACTCGATAGGGCTTTACCATTTTACTGTGTTCTGTTCCAGGTAAGATGAAGTAAACGCATGGCTGCCTCTCTCTCCCACTGAGGATACAACCTCGATAGAGTGCATATTGCAGCTATTTGAATGATCCGAACAGTAAATACCAGCAAGTGGATTGGATGAAAACAACCAGGATCCCAAGTACCACAAACCTGGTGGTGAGTTGTGCACACTTATTCCTCTGGAACCTCTTAAGCAGAACTCAGCACCTCCTGAAACCCAGGAGTGAGCAGCATGGTGTAGACAGAGAGATGCAGAAAAACACCTCTGGTTCTGGCTCAAGCAGTGGACAGGGGGACTCCTAAAACTCAGAGCCTGGGAGACCCCTGATAGTTTTCTTTACTTTCTCTCCATTCTCATGTTGCTACATTACTGCAGTGGCAGTAAATGTGGCCGTCAATAAAAAAAGGCAGGAACTAGGACTCTGAGGAAGAGAAGCCTATATTCTGGCCTCAGGGTGCTTTTTCTTCCTGCCTGGGGTTGTATACCACCTGTGGGCACCTCAGGACTCCTGATAACCTCACTCTTACCTGTCGCCTTTTTAGCACAGGATCGGTAGGTGTGGGGGAACACACGTTCTTGAGGACACAGCAGCTGTCACATCAGGAAGCCTGGCTCCAGACCCCTCTGTAAATATCCCATGACTAGGCCCTGCCCATCACCCCACCCAAGCCTCCTCAAATGAGGAGTTAAAGCTGGCCCATAGGGCCAAAGTACAGGGAGTAGGGATAATGAGCCACTGGCCTTCTAAAACCTGTCATGGTCCCTGAGTCAGCCATGACACAGGCAGTGGGGGAGGGTAGGACTGGGACAAAGCTGGATCTCAAAGGAGTTGGGGTCATTCAGCGTAGGGGAGGGGAGCAGAGAAGATGCTCTGAGATGTGGCTTTACCAAATGTTTCGAGGACACGGATGGACCAAGCAATGGCACCTATGATGAGAGATTGAAGCCCAGGGGGTGGGGGTTCCCACTAACCTTACTTGACTCTTCTAAGGCTCCACAAAAAGGAAGGCTCTTAGCAGTGCAGAAGGGGCTTTATGGGTAGGGAAGGGAGAAACATGTTTCTTTACACAGCTTCTGCTAAGCACCTCATATGTGCTATGATAACTAATCCTCACTAAGCCCATGACACAAAGACTCATGTTTTAGATGAACAAGCTAAGATATGAAAAGGTTAAACAAGACATTCAAGGTCACGGTCCTAGTAAGGGACAGGGCTGACTAAGTCTTCAGTAAATATATTTGCCTAACCCAGTATGAAACCCAGCAGAGGGCTTCATTTCTCAAGTCATGGATCCTAACACGTGGGCCATGAACTTTAGAAGACAGAGCCCAGCAGCAACATGAGGGAGGTGAAGAAATCAAATCAACGCACATTTAGTAACTTGCTGAATGCTAGACACTTCCCCATGGTGTGAGAAATGAAAGGACATGGCCCCGTGACTTTGAGGTCTTTACAAGCCTCCCTGAAGAACCAGCTACTTGAGCTGACAGACAGGCATGTTTTCACAATTACCAGGTACCTGTGACTCTGAGGAACATACTGCCTGAGCAAGGATGGACTGGCCAGGAAATCACTCAGTCCAGGAAGAATTCACGGGTGCTCTTAGTGGTTCTCAGTCCTGTGTGTCTCATATATTAAAATGCAACTAATGCCTTGAAGGGGAAGAAATTAGCTTTCAGTCCAGTTAAGGACTGCTGTTGCTGAGGACCAAGGAGGCCTGAGGGAGCAAACTCCTTTGGAGTTTGGGGGATGTGGTTGTGTGAGCTTGTGGGGGAGGGCAAACAGAGGGGGCTATAGGGTCGTGGCCTGGGGAGAACAATGTCCTTCAGCTGCCTAGACGGGGAAGGTGCTCGTCTCTTCATGAGTGAGGGAAGTGGGCTTTTATTCCATGCCCTTGGTTCCTTAATTTGTAAAATGGCAGTGGAGAAAGATCTAGCTCAGGGGGTTGTATATTTATAAACTGTGAAGTACTAAAGTAATTAAATGCATAACACATAGACTTGGAGAAGTGGAAGTGCTAACGGTCTCCATTATGTTAGTTATGTGCATTACTGAGCACATTGTAATCAATTGCACATATTAATGATAACATTGGGCATATTGGGTTCTTGAATCACTGAACTGGCACAGCAGGTATTTCAGAGGCCATCCAGCATGGTCCTCCTTATCTGATATTAGAATTCTCTGTAAGATGTTCGTGCTAAGGAGTACTAATATTTTCCTCGGTGATATTCGGCTTGTTGAATGTCAGAGCTCAGCCAGTGCCTGGGAGAGTGGGTAATCCTGCCTGTCCTCCACGAGGCCTCCCCAGGTTGACCAGATCTGCTCTTGCCCTCTTAGATCCCTGAGCACAGACAGATTTGTCATCCAGAATGGGCTATGATCATCATCTGAATGGAAAAGCCAACTATGGGTCAGGGCTTAGACGAGAAAATTTCTTTTTTTTTTTTTTTTTTTGAGACGGAGTTTCACTCTTGTTACCCAGGCTGGAGTGCAATGGCGCGATCTCGGCTCACCACAACCTCCGCCTCCTGGGTTCAGGCAATTCTCCTGCCTCAGCCTCCTGAGTAGCTGGGATTACAGGCACACACCACCATGCCCAGCTAATTTTTTGTATTTTTAGTAGAGACGGGGTTTCACCGTGTTGACCAGGATGGTCTCGATCTCTTGACCTCGTGATCCACCCGCCTCGGCCTCCCAAAGTGCTGGGATTACAGGCTTGAGCCAACGCGCCCGGCCGACTAGAGAAAATTTCTAAGGGGGTGGGGCCAGCTGCTTACTTCCCCCAGGCCCGGCAGGAAATTGAGCCTCACTGTTCCAAGTGTCAACTGAAAGGCCCCCAAGAGCCCTTGATATAACTTCAGAGATAAACAACGTAAGCACGGGGTCCCAATTCCCTGGGAGTGACCTCCCCACCCATATGAGGATGGCACTGCTGCCATGGTCATCTATGACCCAGGAGTCATCCTTTCCACCATTCTTGGCACATTCACCAAGAAACCACACCAGGGAAGAACACTAACCCATTGCTCTCCACAGCCTTGCCCAGTGTGCCAGTGGTGAAGAAGCCATGCCTTAGTGCTCTAGAACCCCTTCTGCAAAACATAGTTATGCATAAGAAGAAGATCCCCACTCCTAGCACATCATAGCTCTGCTTTAGGGAGCCTGCAGGGCAACAGGAGGCCACTGCTCCTCTAGGGGAGATGGGAGCCTTTCTCTTTTATTCTCATCTCTCTTCTGTCCAGATACAGTCCATCTGATTGGGGTGGAAAGGTGGAAAGTAGGAATAAACTCTTGCCTTAATCCTTTTCACCCCCAAGCACAACTTCAAGTAGTAAGAAATATGATATAAAACCTTCATTAAAAAACACTGTTCACCCCATCCTGAGGCAAGGGTGGCTCTGTTGGAGCAAGAGTGGCTGGCCAGGCCCTTTGAATCATGGGAGATGTTCTGCGGTCAACTTTAAGACAGGGCTGGCGGTACTGGGACACTTGGCTGAGAGGCAGGGGGCCTGCCCAGGTAAAGAGCTTCCCCTTTCCTGCTGTGGTTGTAAATGGAGGGTCACAGCTGAGCTGCAGGAAGGGAAGGAGGATTGGGGGTGCACTTTCTGGTCATACTGGGATTCCAGCTCACATCCCATTCCTTCCCTCTGAGCAGTCATGAGAACCTCACGCTGAGAAAGGAGGCAGCACTGGGGCTTTTCTCTAGGTGTCCTGGCTCTCCCTCCTCACTGAAGTTGGAGACTAGACATCTTGGGTGGTGGAGGGGTGAAAACAAAGATCCCTGTGCAGGTTACCTGGAGCTCAGAGGGTGTAGGACAGGAAGCGGGGAGCTGGGTAGGGCCACGTGGTGGCTTCGCAGAGTTGGAAAGGTGGCTTTTTTGCATGCATTTCTTTGGATGGGTGAGGTGGTCTCCTGCCCTGTGTTCTTGCTTGAAAAACAATCACAGGCTTTGCTTCTTGTGAAAGAACAAGAAAGTCAGTAGACAAGGGGAAAGAGGCAGCAGCAGGAAGAACAACACAGATGCAATATCAGTGTCAGATAGAGCTCGGCTTACTGTACCCAGCTAGGCAGCAACATCGATCAGCCTCCCTCACAGAAACCAGCGGAATAGGGCATTATGATTTGGATCATTTTTTTATTGTATTGAGAACACTTAACTTGAGATCTGCTCTCTTAACAAGTTTTTAAGTGTACAATAAGGTATTGTTAACTATAACAATGTACAACAACATTGTACAGCAGATTTCTAGAATATATTCACCCTGCGTAACTGAAACTGTGCACGTTTTGAATAGCAGCTCTCCATCTCCCCCTCCTCCCAGTCCCTGGCAACCACCCTTGCACTCCCCGTTTCTGTGAGTTTGACTATTTTAGATACTTCATATAAGTGGAATCCAGCAATCCCACTTCTGGGTATTCATCCAAAAGAATTAAAATCAGGATCTCAAATATGCACTTCTCAAATATGTCCATTGCATTATCCACAACAGCCAAGATGGGGAGGCAACCTCAGTGTTCATTAACACAGGAGCAGTTAAAGGGGAGCACACGTGCAATGGAGTAGAACTCAGCCTTAGCAGAGAAGGATGCAACAACGTGGCGGGTGAGGAGCGGTGGAGAAGGCAGCTCCAAACTGTGTTGTTGTGGATACAAAGCAGCCACACAGTTTGGCCCCATCTCCTTCCTGTAGGAAATACGAAATCCAGAGAGACTCAAAGAGAAAAGAGAGAAAGAAAATACAGCCAACATTCTAATGCCTTCTTTGCTGATTAGATTTGTACGCTGTGCTGGACGCTTTACTGTCACTTCTCATTCCACCTTCAGAATATCCTCTGAAGAGGTCATTGTAGTTCCCATTTTACAGACAAGGTCTCTGGGCTGGTAGGGGACCTGGGCAGGATGGCTATTTATGAGCTGATAAGGAGAATCTCAGGCCACGGCAGTGGGTTCTCCCAGGACCATGCCAAGGCTTTCTGGCTAAGAGTCCAGGGGAACATCACCTGGGGCTAGGGAGGAGCTTTGGGCATCAGGAGCTCCAAAGGCTGGGACTGCCAAAGAGGAAAAGTGGGTGGAGTGTGTTGGACACCTTACAGTGGGGTGATTCCAGAGGCGTACAGCCTGGCTTGCTGAATGTCTCGGAGGGCCTGAGC